TTTTTTTTTGCCGAGTACCTTTCAAATCATCACTAAATTAATTAAGTAAACAAGTATTAACTTACATTTTTAATTTTAAAATCGCTCCAGTTTGTAAATTTTTAAATTTAACGAACTTGTTTATTCAAATTATCGTCGCCAAAAAATCCAACCATGTGCCACAATCATATGTTTTTCCTAATTGCAAATTCTTGCTGGCAAAATTTTTTTCGGCTCGAATTTGTAACTTCTCTCCAAGAAATAGTCTTTTTACTCGTGATTTATTTAAATAAAACATGTGAAATTTAGTTGAAACATTTTAGCCGTTTTTAGCCGGTTTTATTTGCAAATTTAGCAGGTTCGTCCAAAAAGTTCTGGCAGCACTGATGGGAACCAACAACAAACAAAGTTACCACATGGTTAAATGTTTTAAAGTTGCCAGGTGGCAAAATTAACACAGTAGATAATATAGAACCCTAATAAACATGAGACAAAGTCGAGTAATTTTGCCCAAAAGTGTTATCTCTAATTAGTATGGGAACCAACAACAAACAAAGTTACCACATGGTAAAATGTTTTAAAGTTACCAGGTGGCAAAATTAACAGAGTAGATAATATGGAACTGTGAGCACCCTAATAGATGTTTTATTTATTCATATTGAGCAATTGTTAAGTTTTATTGCAAACTGGTGGTTTATAGACTTGCATTCTTACAATAACAAAAAATATTTCGCTAAATACTTACATTGACGATGGCATATCTGTAGGATTAGTAGTTATCTCTAATAACCCGACGTTGTCGTAGTAAATTAACCGTCGTCTGCTCCCTGTATTCATCCTCGAAATACAAATCCACGGAATTAAGCATTTAAAAATTTTGAATTTATTTGCTTTTCTATAGTACCGATATTTCTTGTTTACAAAAACTTTGCTTTGAAATGTCAAAGTTGTCAAATTTGGATGAGCCCATTTGCAAATACACTTTTTTTGGTATGGCAACAGCGAATACAAGCGAATGTGTTCATTCGCCACTCATAATACCAATGCCCACAATTTTCGCCTGAGCATTCGCTTCGCCAAACATATTAGCTTCGCAACTCATAATACCACTGATAATCAGGGCCGAAAAGTTTAAGCTTTTGCCTGAATTGCTTATTTTGCTTATTCGGGGTTTCCAAGCTTGCCTTGTATGCTTCACAAAATTTAGCAAACCATAGTAGAAAGCGTAGAAAATTTCTTAAGAACTTCGTACTACTTAAGAAAATTTGGCTCAATAAATTTTTCTTGATCATTTCTTGGGCTTTTTTATTCGTCGAACTAAAGAAATGTTTACAATTAATAACATAAAAACAGATTTGGTTTTTATTAACCCGTAACTTCAATTGCATTTCTGCTTGGAAACAAAAATTTAAAACCTCTACGGGAAGGCATTGTTGTTATTGAAGAGATTTACATAATTTATCTCAAATGGAGAATAACGAATAGTTAGGTTAGGTTAAGTTGATGTGGCAGTCGGTTCATATTACCAACTCACTTAGACCTTATGAAGATCCATTGTGGTACCACTGCAGAACACGGGAACCTCTGTGCCTAATCTTCAGAGAACCATTTCGAAGGTCTTACNATTGAAGAGATTTACATAATTTATCTCAAATGGAGAATAACGAATAGTTAGGTTAGGTTAAGTTGATGTGGCAGTCGGTTCATATTACCAACTCACTTAGACCTTATGAAGATCCATTGTGGTACCACTGCAGAACACGGGAACCTCTGTGCCTAATCTTCAGAGAACCATTTCGAAGGTCTTACAAAGCGTAGGATTGGCTTTATTCCTACGCATGATAGTTCCGTAAGAGAGCTAAAGAAGGGCCTACCTAAAAAGCCTGCTCTCATCCTGGCCAGAGCTGGGCAGCTACAGAAGAAGTGCTCTACGGTTTCTTCCTCTTCCTCATCCCCGTAACTTCTACAATATTCGTGGGAGAATATTCCTAGTCGCGAAGAGTGCCTGCCAAATAGCCAATGACCGGTAACACAAGCCAAGGGTCGGCGAAAATCCTCCGGCTGAACCCTCCACGAGGGTGCCGACTGGTAATGGGCACTACAATTTAGGTTCTGTACGATGTCAGAATGGTGTCCAGCTAAGATCAGAAATCAGTGATATGTGCTTAAGCTCTTCAATAGCTAAGTTATATGGAAATGGTTTTTGATCGTGGCCTATGGAGGTAATGGAGAAGTGTAGTATTACACTAAATATCGACCGCACACAGCTAAGCCATTATGACCCAAATAAATTCTAATGAACTCAGCGGGAGTTCAACGTCATATATATATCTGTTTACATTTGTCATCATTATTACTCAAGCCGTCGCATTGACCAACTCACGTGACTAATCGACAGTGTCGGTTTGTCAACAGTCGAAATAACTATGAAGAAATATGCTGACTTTGCATACTATGTAAATGCTTGTAGTTTATAAGTATTAGTGTAAATTAGTGTAAGAAATTTTGTATAAAAAGAGAATACTTTAAAATAAAAAAAGCTATGCTGATTACTCGTAAAAGCTGTCTACACTTCATTTCATGGGCCACCAGCTGATTACACCTCACATGGCGATCCTGCCAGTTTGGTAATGGTAAAAGCTAGCGAAAAATTTGCTTATAGCAAAACCGCTAAAAGTCCAAACTTGGCGCATAAAAGGGCGATCCTGCAAACATATACTTTGAAATGAATAAATATCGACAAACGTCAAATAGGAATTATTTCCAAAACAACCAACAAAATTAATACTTATTACGATCCTGGTGACGATCCTGCGAACCTTTATGCGATCCTGCGGCAACACAGCATAAAAAGGGTGGAATATTGACTGGCAGCGGCAGGGTGACAATCCTGCGAACCTTTATGCGATCCTGCGGCAACACAGCATAAAAAGGGTGGAATATTGACTGGCAGCGGCATATTGGCTGGCAGCATGACTGGCAGCCACTATCTATAAGTATAATTAATAATTTAAATTGGGCAGCCTCACGGCGCTCAACTAATGTCAGATTAAATTGGGCAGCCTCACGGCGCTTAACCAAGAGCAGAAATTTTTATTTTTCGCTCTATAATGCAAGAAATCACTACCGAAGAAGAGTTCCATAGGATATTTAAAAAGTGCGAAGACACTATAAAAGAATTTATAAAAATTTCGGAAAAAATTCTAAAAAACCCTAACATTTCAACATCTTGGGATCGTCTGGAATCTAAGAAATAACAGCGAGCACCTCTGGAAACTCAGATACAGCTAAACGTAACGTTGTAAACGTACATTTCTTACAATCATTCAAACAAATTTAATTTCAAATTGAAAACACATTTCTTCCAAAATAACTTAAAATCGCACACACGGAAGAACCAAAAAGATTGAAAAATCATAATACTTTTTTCTTTCGTCTGTCGATTTTAGAACTGGTTCGGAACTATAGAATTTAGGACTAGTTCGGAACTATCGAAAAAGGGATGCAGCGGGCGGCAATTGACACTTCCTAGGACATCGCCATGTTAAATTCGCCAGTTGCTTGCATGCAAAAGAGATTTATCGCGAACCAGTACTGGGTCTAAATGTACTAGAAGCGCACCAATTCAGAACTAGAGATTTTCCCCACAGGGCATGTACTATGTATGAATGTGTGTGTTGTCACCGCTCTCAGAGCGGCGCTCTGCATGCTTGGGGTGCGTATACATATATGTACACTCCTATATATACTCAGATGTGAACAGTCAAATACGTGCGTATTAAATTTTGAATGAAAATATTATTTTTAAATTTGAACATTTTTAAACGATAATCAAATACATATCGAGCCCTAACCGCCAAAATAACGTAAGCGAAATTTTTTTCAAAATTTTCTTTTTAATGCAGAAATATCCCTAGAGCATCTAGATACATTTCTGCATCAAAAAGAAAATTTTGAAAAAATTGTCGCTTACGTTATTTTGGCGGTTAGGGCTCGATATAAAGTATTCATTTTTACTATGCATTATTTCACTCAGTGTACTTCAAAAAAAATATAATTATTTAAAAGAAATTAAAGCTTTTAGCGATAGTGAGTATATGACGGGAGGTAATGAAAATATTACATGGTATTCACATAAAATATGCATTTACTGTTGTTTTTTTTATTGTTTTTTAGTAAGATGAGCTGCATATTTAGGAGCTGCAAAAATAACAGAAGAAATTGCGAAAAAAATAACCTACAGTTTTTTCGACTCCCGGCGGTACCACAAATGCGTGAAAAGTGGATATCCGTGTGCATGATAACTGAAAATGCGTTACCAAAAGTATCGTTTGTTAGTTCCGAGCACTTTCCCGCAAAAGATTTCAACCGGAGGAACGGATGCGCCCAATTAGAGCGAAACGCGATACCAGTATGAGTAGAGTGAGTATGCTTTCCTAGAATCCGAAATAAAGCAACATCCTACTTACTTTCTTAAAGGACCAACTGCATATAATATATCATGTAAAAGATAATGCTACATTTTTGATGTGCCTTACATTTATAGCAATTTAAATCAATACGCAGCTCTTTTAATACGAACAATCATGTAAGTATATTTACCTCGTGTGTTACAACTTACTTTTTAATAAAATAAAAATTCCTTAAAAAAATATTAAAATGTCCAAAATAATTATTTGATTAGGTGGCAGTGCTACTTCAACAATTTACGAAAAGTAGAAACGTCAGTAAGCACAGTTTATGTCAAAAAATTAAAAGTGAAACTACCTTCTCTTTTTTGTATCATGGGTGTAGGTATGTTTTTGGTTAGTATATTGGTGTTTTTGGTTCAGTGTGTTAGTGTATTTTGAATAAATTGTAATATAAATAGATGAAATTGTAATAGAAATGGAAGCAGTTGTAAAAGGGAACATCAAATGCCAAAAAACGGGCGATTTCAGCTGTAATTTTGTCTTAGGAATAACTCTTACCAGGCAACGTAAAAACAAAAACGTCGAAAATAAAAGTTATGAGCAACGGAAAAAATTTTGTCTTGAGAATAAAACTCACTGAGCGACGTAAAAGCAAAAAAATCGAAAATAAAAGTTAGGTGCTACGGAAAAAAGATTGTGAATAACACTAATAGGGGAGCAAAACTTATTTTGGGTTAAAAATAACTTTTATGTAAAGTAACAAAATCTTATTTATATTTAACTTTATAGTTATGGACCAATTTTTTTTCATATTCCTTATAACAGTTATGTCTCTGCTCAAGATTCTTCTTCTTCTGTATTGGCGCTGTAACCGCCTAAGCGACTTTGGCCGAGTCCCAAACAGCACGCCAGTCATTTCTTTCTGTACTAACTGACGCCAATTGGAAATGCCAAGTGAAGCCAAGTCCTTCTCCACCTGGTCTTACCAACGCAGAGGAGGCCTTCTTCTTCCTCAGTTACCAGCATTGCGGCCCGCGGTGCATATTTTCAGAGCGGGAGCGTTTCTGTCCATTCGAACGACATGGCCAAGCCAGCGGAGCCGCTGAATTTTAATTCGCTGCACTATGTCTATATCGTTGTAAAGCNCTTTCCAACGCAGAGGAGGCCTTCCTCTTCCTCTGTTACCAGCATCGCGGCCCGCGTTGAATATTTTCAGAGCAGGAGCGTTTCTGTCCATCCGAACGACATGGCCAAGCCAGCGGAGCCGCTGAATTTTAATTCGCTGCACTATGTCTATATCGGTGTTAAGCTCATACAGCTCATCGTTAAATCGTCTGCGGTATTCGC